GACGTCGGACCCGCGGCTGCCCTACAAAGTGTGAGTGACTTGCGGGGTCCGTTCCCCCCCCCATCGCCCTCCACCCTCCAAGCCCTGGCCCTCCAACCCCACCCCCCACAGACTGACCTGTATCCAGTTGCCGGGGTGGTCCCACCCTTTGCCTGGCTACACGTGTGCGCCCTGCCTCCAGTTGCGCTGCCCCAAGCAACTTGTAGCTAGCGCAACCCAGGAATTGGCAGGAAAAACTTTGACGCTAAACTGACCACAATCCCAGGCATTCAATCGTATTTGGGGGGGAAAAAAACCCAAAAACCTCCAGGACCGAGATGGGGAGATCTAAAAAGAGGGCACATCCTGGAAAACCCAGACATATGGTATCCCTAACATTGTCAGGCTTCTCGTAGGGGAGAGCTGGCCCTTGCCTGGGGTTCCTTTCGGCTTCCTGAAGAGGCACCATGTGCCTTGCATGTCGCAGAACCTCCTGCAGCACTTCCCAAACCAGCTGCGGGTAGGGCGCCATGTATGACATGGATCCTGGCACAGATGCTACTTGCAGCACGTGCCCAGAACAGGTTGTGCCACATTGTGCATGCTGTGTGTGGTGTCAAGCCCTGGCTGAATGGGGCTGTGTGAGTCTGACACCCATATTCTGTGCTGTTGGTGTCCAGGACACCCAGTTCAAGTGTGCTTGGCTACTTGCATAGCTGCACATGGTGGGTTTAAATATAGTTATTTGGAATGGATTTGCTGCATCCTTGCAATTTATTAAGTGAAAATAGGCAAAAGGCAGGGCAGGATGCCTGCCCGTTGGAGACTAACTGGTTCAGAGAGGTGTGAGGTTTCATAGGCAGCAGCCTATTTGGTCAGGTGCTGTGCAACTTTATCAGATGCTATATAAAGAAAAGCTATGGCTCTACATCAGTGGTGCCCAACCTGCAATACGAGTGCCACAGGTAGCACGTCAGCCCCTGTATGGCACATGTTAGATCAGTGTGGGGTAGGCAATCCTGGCAAATATGGCAGGAAAAAGTGATTGGAGCAGCACTTAAGTGTTTGGGACTAATTTGTTGATATGCCTGTGAAAAAGATTGGCCCCCCACTAATCTAAAATAAGTGGTGTGTCATGTGTAAACAGGCAGAATTAAAATGTGAAGAATGTTGGTTAGGGACCAGCCTAACTTACAGCTAGAGAAAGTAATTTATGCAGCTTGATCACAACCTAAAGGGCCAATTTTGTTGTCATTTCATGATGGCCCTGCCCTTCGGTGCTGATTGGTAGAGAGTCCACACCCCTTGGCACTGACTAGCAGAGAGGGCAGCCACCATCTTGACTGCTGGCTGCCCTTTCTGCAGCCCTTCTCCTTGGTGCTGATTGGCAGAGGCACAAGCAGCAGCTGCCCTTTGCAGCCCCACCAGCGAGAATATTCCCCTCCTGGGCAGGCTGCAAGGCCGGGGAACCAGCATTTTACTGCTGTTAAGTTTTGGGTTCTTTTGGTTGATTTCTTGGGAAATCGCAGCCATTGCTGTTTTTCACAGCAATTGCTATTTAAGTAGGTCCCTAATTGTGGTTTAATACAGAATTGACATAGATTTTAAATTGTCTTATAACTTGTTTGGAAGTATTTCTCAAACAATTTCCAAGCTGGGCCAAACCAGAGGTCTGTCTAACCTAGTGTCGCGTCAACAACAGAGATATGGGTTTTCCGGAAAATTGAGTTGAACAATTTTCCAGAAAATTTTCCAGTGCCCTAAATAGAGTGTGATCTGATTTAGCATGTTTAATTGACTTGTATTTAGAAAACAAAACTAAAAAAGTACCCCCATGTTACTTGCAACTACTGGGACATAAAATTATTTGAACTGAAATATTTGATTAGGAGTTCATGATCCACAATGAGCATTAATTGCCACCACATTCCCTCAATTACCATGGTGCACGTCAGTTAATTAACAAAAGCTATAAGGAGAGTGCAGCAGGAGCCATGCAAGCTGGGGAGAGAGCACAGGTTTGAATATTTGCACCGCGAATATTCGAAACCGCGAATGGCAGGTTTCCTGTACGCAATAGCATATACTTCCCTTACATTGTTTTTTAATAAATTTAAACAAACAAAGACACTGGAAACTGTTGACGCACTAATTTTAGCACACCCAAAGAACTGTGCATGATATGCCGTGGTCGTCCACTCATCTGCTTCAATAGAGTTTTTAACACTCTTCCACTGAGGTCATTGCAGCACCTCCATTTTTTCATTATCACTACCTGTAGAATCACTTGCACTACTTATTAGTTCCATTTCAGAATCAGATTGAGGCAAATCTGATTCAGAACTACTTGAACCACATTTATCATTGCATGACCATCTTCTTCACTAATTGCTTCTGACTGATTCTCCAAAAGCAAGAGATTTTGGGAAGTAGAAACAAACTTAGCAATGCATTCATTTGTTAGTCTATTCCTTTTTTTGTCTTGATTGAGCTCAAAGCCTTCCAGTTCTGTTCAAAGGAAGCTGCTGTTGGTGGAATGCAATCCTTAGAGCAACCCTGGACAACACGTCAGGTGTTACAGTATCCCTTCCATTACCTGAGAGGAGACATTCTCTGCTGTCTGCCAAATGATGTCTTTGTTCCACGGTTTTTCTTTTGCACAGTATTCAGCAGTGTCTGTCATCATGGCTATTTTGTCAGTGTTATGGACATTCTTAGCTACTTCCATAATTTGTATCAAGCAATAGATAATTCATCTTCTGATAAATGTTGTCCTCTGTGTCTGATCCAAAAGGTTTGCTGTCAGATGAACTGGATGAGAGCAAAACTCAGATCTCTTGGTAAATATTTGTTTTACTACTACTTACTTTTTGGATAGAAGTGAAGAAGGCAAAAGCTCAATTAGATTTTCATTCAGTTGTCTGAATATCTCTGGAATATTTGAAAGGCTTAGTGCATCTCCTTCAAGTTTCTTGATAGCCGCTGGAACTGGTAGTAGCAAATTGAATGCTCCTTGAACTTGAACCCAGAACACGTTGTTGAGAATCTGCTTCCAAATGTTCACAGAGAATAATCTGGGATACTGTGTCATCTATTGAAGCACACTGCAAACAGTTCTTTGTGTACAGCAAACTATGCTAGTACTTTGTAGTCGAGCCCCATCTAGTTTCTCCTGGCAATAAAAGTGCACTTTCCTTCCCCTGCTTCTCTTTCTGTAATTTCTTCAAAGTCTGATTAGCAACATGATGATTGTTGAATTACCTTCACAATTGCTTTGCAGTTTGCCAGTATTGTCTTCACTGTATTCACACTTACTGTGTCCTTTGCCAGAAGATTCAATCCATTAGCAAGACAGCCAAATACAATTAAATGTGGTTATTTAGCTTTTAATATTTGCCACTCAGCTTTCGCGTTACTTGCATTATCAGTTGCAAGGGCTTGTATCCTGGAGGGACCTGCACTTCCAATTTTTTCACTCAGTAATTTGGCTATGCATTCACCTGTATGATGAGAAGATTTTGTAGCAATTGCTTTCATGAATATTGGTTCAGATGTTGCTAACATAATGTTCAGTAAAAGTCCATCCATCTGACATCAGCGTCAGTGATCCTGCTTGACCAATTCTTTGAATAACCATTGTTTGAACTCTGTCTTATTGTCTGCCTAAGAGAATGCGATAAGGCTTAATGTGACAGTAACTTAAATGATGGGTGGTAATGTTCCTTCCAGTATTGATTTTTCTCAAATGATGTTGTTCTACCACTTGATTGTATTAGCTTTCTGTATATGACTTGTACTCTTTCAGTACAGTTTCTACATGTTAAGTGTTTCTTCATTCTTGTCGCACAGTTAACATACTTCTGCCTGCAATATTTACATCTACCAACTTTCTGCCCTCCTTCAGTGGTTTGAACGTCACTATAATGATGCCCCACACTAGTTTTGTTTTCTGATTAGGCATTATAAATGTAATAGCTTTCATAAACATTAGGGCTGGAAGGGACCTCACAAGATCATTAGGTCCAGCCCCTTGTCCAAAGGGCAGGCAGTCAGCAGGGGTCAAATGATCCCAGCGAGATTGGAGTCCTTTAATAAACACTTGGATGCCTGAGTAGGTGCCTGCACTGCCTCTGTGGTGGGGAGTCTATTCCAGGCCCTAGGGATTTGGACAGTAAAGAAGATTTTCCTTACGTTCAGCCTAAAACAGTCTTCCAAGACTGTTTGTGACAGTTGCACCTAGTCTTCCCATAGGGTTCTCTGGGAACAGACGTTCTCCCAATTCCTGGTGCGTGCCCAGGAATGCTTATAGGCTGCCACTAAGTCACCCCTGAGCCTACGTTTTTCCAGGCTGAAGAGTTCCATGTCTCTCAGCCTCTCCTCACAAGGCCTGCTCTCTTATCCTCTAATCATGCACATGTCTCTCTGGACTCTCTCAAGCTTCTCCACATCCTTTCTGAATTGTAGAGCCCAAAACTAGACAGAGCTGTGGTTTCATCAAGGCAGAGTAAAGTGGGAGGATGACTTTCCAGGTCTTGTTTGAGATGCAGGCCAGAGTTTTGTTTGCTGTGCCGGCTGCGTCATCACATTTGTGGCTCGTGTTCATCTTGTGATCAATCATGACCCCCAAGTCTTTCAGGCGTAGTACTGCTGAGCCTATAAGTATGGTGTGGGTTCTTTCTCCCAAGGTGGAGTTGTTGTTATGACTGCTTGAAACCAAAAGCACTAATAAACTAACATCTTATGCAAACACTTCCAACTTCTCCAACTCAAGAACAGAATTGAGACCCTGCTCTGTGTGTTTGCTGAACTGAAAATGAAACAAAAATTTATCACAGTTCTAGTTTTGGTTTTGCTTTCACTTGCAGTCTGAGATGAAATAAGAATTTTAACTTTGGTTTTGATTTGACCTGCACAGCCAATTTGGTAAACTCGTAACTTGATTTTTTTTACCTTGGATTATTATGTGAGTGTACTTAACCTCCTATTTACAAATCAATAAAACATATGTATTCTCTCTCTCACTTCCTAGGGATAATCATCTGAAAAACATTAATTACAACTTTGAAACTGCCAAGCTTGCCTAATATTGTATTGGCATCCATTCATTGTTACTAATGAATTTTATGAAACAATGAATTTTTAGAAATGGAAAACTTCCCATGGAAAAATAAAGCACTGGAAAATTTTCAACCCCACATCTCTGGTCAACAATAGTAAGCAGCTGTTACTCTAGTTCAGGAAGTAGAGCAGCATATTGGTTATGGGTGTCAAAGATACAGCCTACAGGTCAGACCAGCCCACAGAGCCCTTTCATCTGACCCATGGTAGGTCAGCAACTAGACTTGCATGTGGCATCCAGGGCTGGATCTGGCATGTTTGTTGCACACACCACTCCTAGCTGGACTGGCTCCATGGACTGGATTTAGTGTGCAGGGCCAATCTGAGGGCCCAGTTTTACCCGTAGACCACACTGGTGCTACTCAGCTACTCATCCAGTTTGTAGGCACCTGAAAATTTTGATACCACTGCTTTGGAGGAAAAGTATAAGAAACAAGGCATATGTAGTATGCAGTATTAACCTCCCCCCTCCTCCCTCCCCATTGTATCCCTTCCCAGTCACAAGCAGTTACAGTTTTAGGAATATCTTCAGTCTAAGGTTATATCTTCATGCTTAATAAAAAGCCCAGATGGACTATAAATTTGTCTAATTTCACAATATTGATGTACAGTATGTAAAGAAGGATGCACAGAAAAAGTGTTTTGAGAGCTCTGTCTTCCTCCCCGATGCATGTTTTTTTACTGATGATGAAATGTAACTTTCTGTTGTTGTTAACTTAACCTGTCTAGATATCATTACTCTAATGTGCTGTAGCATCTAGTAATCCTCACAAATCTGTCTGGTGTAGTACAGCATTCATGACCATATGTATTCCTTTTGTGACCTATCAAGACAGTCTTGTAAAATGGTTTGAGATCCAACTTTAAAACTAAAACTAATAATATTACTCCTAGTATTAAATTGTTCCCTATGGAAGATGACGCTGAAAATTTATCGTCTAACACGTTCGGAAAATTGCAGGCTAGAAACTTGGAATTGTCACATGATTTTTCTTTTTGTAAATGTATCGCTTCTGGAATATGCACAAGTAATAAATCAAAATTAATTTATCGAAAGAAAATAACACTTTTGCAGCATGCTTATGTTTCCATGCTGATAAAACAAAACATTGAAGCACATAATGTTGCTTTAATTCATAGAATCATACAGAAGTAGAGATGAAAAGGACCTCCAGAGGTCATCTAGTCCATCCCCCAATAGAGGCAGGATCATCCCTATTGAAACTATCTTGTACAAATCCATTGTCCAATATATTAGTGAAACTATGCATTCAACCCTGACCTAACCACGAAGCACAACACCCTAACCTACCACAGGTAAAGCAGTGGGTCTGCAATAGCCAATGACCTGCTGCTACAAGGGATATATTTAAAGTGCATTCAGGAGATCCAAGGAAGAGAGCCATGCCCTCCCACTACACAGGAAAGGCAAATCCTTCACAGTTTGTACAGTCAAATCATGGGGTAAAATTCCTTTCTGACCACAGATATGATAGTTGGTCTGACTCTGAGTGGAGGAACCTCTGGGTTTTGGTCCCAGCACTGGCATACCCCAGTAAAATCCCAAGCCTTGGCTACAGCCAACCCCCAGTGCTTCTGAAGAATGTTAAAAAAACAAACAAACCCTGATGCATATAGCAGGCAGTGAAGAAAGTCTTTCCTAGCCCCATGTGGCAACCAGCAAAGCCCAGAAACATGGGACATGCCCATAGTAGAGAATAGACATCTGGACGTTGCTGACCAATGCTTGTCCAACCTCATCTCAAACATCTCCCATGATGGAGTTTCCACAGCTTCCCTAAGCAGACTGTTCCACTGTCAACTGTTCTTCTTTGCTAGAAGTTGTTCCTACTATCCAATCTAAACCTACTTTTCTGCAACTTCAAGTCATTGTATGAGAGCAGCCATTGATATTTGAAATTATAAACTGCAGTTTTAGAAGTTTGGAATGGCTCTTTACTTCAGCCTAGAAATAATATTCTCTACTTTCATTTTACTCTTAATTTTAGGTTAAGTGTGCCTGAAAATACACCTTTCACAGCTGTCTTAAAATTTGCTGCAGAAGAGGTAAGTAGTGAATCATGACAGTGTTCAAAGAGGTAAATTACAAGTTTCATGTAAATTTTTATCGCATACTTATAAATGGCAGAGTTAGCAGAAAAGCATGCAGAAATATGCAGTCAGATTTGCATGATTAATCACCAGGGATCCTGGTTTTCTCTGATTAAAAGAAAAATAATCCCCAATTTTCGGATTAAAAAAGTAACCCAAAATCCACATTTGACCGTGATTAAAATGAAACACTGCTATAATAGATTTTTTTATATATCTATATATATTAGTAATGATTTTTTATGTATCTCTATATTAGTAGTGTTTCATTTTAATCACAGACAAATGTGGACTTTGGGTTACTTTTTTAACCCAAAAATTGGGGATCTTTTTTTATCAGAGAAAACCAGGATCCCTGTTAATAGCGTCATTGAAGTTCCACATGAACATGCTTAATCCATATAGTTTTTAAAACCCTTGAACTTAGCAAATTTCATGGTACATATGCCAATTAATGTAGTAATTTACATTTATATAGCATCCAGCATCTCAGCTTTGCAAGGCCCTTTCCATGTACCTTTCCCCTCTGTTTTAATGAGAATTTGCTAGATTTACACACTTGATGGAATGCCCGGATGAACATCTGTCTCCCGCTTCACAGACTAGGCACCTGAGTTGAGGCTCCAGGCAGGCAGTTCCATCCACTTGGGATACAGAGTCCAAAGTCCTCTTCTGAGGACAGGCTCCTAAAATTCTCCTTTAAAAGCAGTAATTAGGACTTGCTCGTTTCTTTTTTTTAAGACTAAACCACCAGAGAAGGAATTGAAGGAAAGTAGTACTAGTGCACCCTCTGTCTCTATGTGCATGCCACATTTTGCAGACCAGAATTCAAGACTCATAGGTCAAAAAAAGAAGGCAAAGAGGAGACATGACTTGCCTACTGATTATGGCATTTAGCAAGAACTCTTGGGTTCTGATACTGGTTCCCACTTTGTTTAACCATAACAGCTGAACGGAAAATGCATAAACAGTAGCAATAATCCTGGGAACAGCAATTGAAACTAAACACTGCCTCATCCTAAGTGAGTACACTAAACTGCAGAGTCATACTTCTTGTGCTTTCTCTTCCTGACTCTGATTCTTGCATTCATGGCCATATAGTTGGTATAGATTCAGCTGGCACAAGGGAAAGTGCTATCCATCCTAGAATCTGTGCTTGATTAGATAATATCAGGTAAAAGAGGGCACAGAACTCGGGTCTTCCCTTTCCTGGGTGAATGCTCTAATCACTGGGCTACTACAGGGTTTTTCAACCTTTTTTGGTCGGCGTATTCCCGGCAGCCAGTCAAAAAGCAGGGAGTCCCCCAGTGGCTGGTCGATGGCGGGTGGGGTTTCCCGCACAGTGTGCGACAGCAAAACTGGGAGTGCCGCTGGCTTCTCCGTGGCACTGCTGCATACCCCCTGGAGCCTTCCAAAGTACCCCCAGGGGTAGGCGTACCCCCAGTTGAAAACCCCTGGGCTACTATATAAATGTAGTGGGTAACTTTCCTAACTTGGATGTAAAATGTCTGTGCCCAACATTTTAAAAAGTCTGTAAAATAAGTAGTAAATAATAGATTAATGTAAGAGATATCTGGAAAGAAGTAATGATTTAAAGTCGAGTTGTGATTTTTGATCAATAAATAACACATGATGTGACATGCGTTTTGTGAGCAGTCTGTTATTGCTGGTAGGCTTTATGCATGCTGCTGGATTGATTTAGGCATTCTTCTGCATTGAATTTCTCCTTGGAACTCCTGCATCACTTTGCTTAGTTTCTGGATCCTAGAGAAAGCATAGCTGGGAGGTAGGTACTCAAACTTGAGCAGTTTGGGGCATATGGAGAAGCAGAAGTCCAGGCAGCTGGAGAATTGTCAAGCCAAAAAAGAAAGGATGTTGTGAATTCTAGGTGTTTCTAGGATTAGATTGCCTCAGAGAGGCAAGAGGTTGGGTTGAGGTTGTATATCGGTTTTGGATTTAGGTGCCCAAGTCTGTTTTGAATGTAGTCCACGTACCTTTTAGTGTGAGAGAGACTACCGTCATCAAATTTGCAAAATCCAGGATCAGTGGTACTCAATACATCATGCTTGTTTCTATCTGTTTCATCTAACCCAGAGGTTCCCAAACTTTTTCTTATTGTGTACCCCCTTCCAGCTTTACCATATGCTCATGTATCCCTACCAGGATGCGTTTTCTATTTTGACCCCTTAAATACCTGTTTGTTATTGTTATGAAAATTAAATCCACCATAACACAATTTCTGTTGCATACCCCTCAGAGATGTCTTGCATACTAGTACCCCAGGAGTATACGTACCACAGTTTAGGAATCCCTGATCTAACCCACTGTTGAAAGATTTTCTATGAGAATATTATTCTTTTGTTTGGTGATCCTGAATTCATCCTGGAAATAATATAAAACTACCTGAAGGAGAAAGTTTGCTCAGAACTAGTGCTTTTTCTTGTAATTCTTTTCTACATAAATATTCATATTTTCTGTTTTCTTAATATGAATTAAGAGGAGGTTAGACCTATGATTAAAATTACATATGCATTCAAATAGATACTCAACATGTTCTGTAGCCCCTTGGATAAAATTGTTATTTTGTTATTGTTTTTTGACACTTTAACAACTTACTTATTAATTCCTTTTTAAAATAATGAAAAGGAATATAGGATCCTTTAACTTATTGCATGTACGTAAAATATGTATGCATTAGGGCTCTGCAGAGCAGGTAATATTTGATTCAACAGCCATGTCGAATATTAAACCGGGTCCCACTTCGATTTGCCGTCCGCTTCGACTCGAGGTCGAAGCTCAGTTGAATATTTGAGCTGCTTTGACTTCCCCATAGGCTATAATGGGGAAGGTCAAAGCAGGCTATAACTTTGGCATTTCTTATCTGATCTTGATGCAACATGCAGGAATGGTAGCTCCTGAAGAGCCCACAAAGTGTACCAAGTTTCAACAAGATTGGTTCAGGGGGTTTGGAAAAACAGCACCCCAAATTCTTGAGAGAGAACCTCCTGTGACTTCTGTGTGGAAAGCCACAGGGAGCTCAAAACTGCAGGCTTGCTAGTCCCTGAGGAGCCCACAAAGCCTGCCAACTTTCACAGTGATAGGTGCAGGGGTTTGGGGGAAACTGCACCTTAGGCTGCTGACAGGCAAAACTCGTGATCCAGATGGAGTGAGGAGGGTGGCACTCAGTCCGTCCACACCTGGAGCTTGGGGACCCCCAGCAGCAGTAGGTTCACCTTGAGGAACACCAGCTGCTCCACCAAACCAGGATCCAAGCAGGTGTGGTGGGGTGTCACAACATCCGCAGCCATGCTGAACACCCTCTCACTTGGCACACTGGTCGGTGGACAGGACAGGTATTCC